AGTTGATAGGGCAGGAATGACGCGTCACCGCTAGGAAGGTTGTGCGATCTGTCGAGTTAACATGAATAAACTACGGGTAGAACCCGCATTGATCTTTTATCTAATGGACCTGCCCCTTCAAGAAGTAGGGGTTTGTTGTACGTATTAGCTTTCAAATTACCACGGTTATCCTAGTAGCATGTACCATCAAACAAACTATAACTTATTAAATGAACCATTCACATTTTGACATCTAAATTAGTTCATACTTACTCATGCATGGCTTAATCTTTGAGACAAGCATATGACTACTGGCAGGGTCAACCAGATAGCCTTCCCCTTTTCGATCCATCTCCAATTGACCGATCCATCCAAGAAAGGCATACGTCCATGGGTAGCCTAATTCGAGGCTATTGTAGTCGTTCAAAAGGATTCTTAGGGTCGGGCCAATAGTAGGGAGATGTGAAATCCCTCATGGTACATCACATTCCGCAACTAAGAGCACAAGCAACACAAAAGGGCCAAATCTCCCACTAATAGCGATAGCTTGGAACAAAATTGATGCTAAGTTGTCGACAACGAGCCCAAACCAAACACACACAAAAATTAAAGGCCTAGTTCAAACTTTCCCTTAGTGGGTATTCAATGCAGGAACCCGATCATCACCCCTCACCATGGGCGAGGTAACTATGAAGAGAGAAGACAGTTCGATGCTCAGATCATGGAGCCTGCCTGCCTTCCCTAACAACTCAATTACCAGTCATGCGCATCACATACAAAGCAAAACAACCCCAATAATATGACCCATTGCCAAGCTTAACATATAGCTAAAACTTAGCTTGCGAATTCGATGGATGGAGCCACTTGCACATCGCTTAGTACGTAAAAATTACCCTAAAGAGACAAACCAAAGAAACCCACATCGTCGAGAGTGAATATTGATACACGAGTTGCCCACTGTCGATTTTCAAAAAACAGTTATGGACAATGGTTGGCCGAGAAATCACAATAGCAGTCGTAAAATCACAACAAAGGCCACAAATCACGACAGCTGGCCGAGTAATTCGGCAACGCCTGGTATAGAAAAATTTGGCAGCGCCTGGTATAGTAAAATCTCAACTGTGCTGGCCAAGAAACTTGCCAGGTCTTAAAATATCAGTTTTTTCCTACGTTATTCCCACAATTTATCCCACTACTGACATTTCCTCACTCCCCTCGGTTGGCCAAAGACAAGGCTAGCTCCTCCCTCGTCATTGCCTTGGGGGCCCATGGGCCATAGGGTGGAAGGCATGCACCACCCCTCTAATGAGCTCTTAAGGTTTTCAACACACTTTCAGAGGTTGACATGCCAATGTCCGAGGAGTCACATCCCCCATAAAATCTTCAATTTACGGAATTTTAACAAGAAATTTTGCATGGACATTAAGTATAGTAATTAGGTCTCCCATAAAGTTCCGCAAGGTTTTGATATGTGGATCATTTTACAGCACAAGCTTAGGCCACGACCGATGTTTTCTGGCAAGCCTTGTCGAGAATTCTCAACAACGTCAGACCTCGACAAAGATTGGCCAACTGGCCAAAAATTCTCGGCCAATCAGTAGTTAGCCCATGAATCTCTGTAGCTAGCCAAGAAATATGTCCAGCGTAGTCCAAAAAGGTTGTAACTTTGTGCTCGGTCATCTGATCAAGGCAAAAAAAAAAAAAACAAAATATTATCGCACAACTTTTTGAGATCTACTCAATGGCTTGGCGTGAGAAGGCCTACCTTGGCTGCAGGATGAGTTTAGATCTACTAAAATCATATGACAACATCATTGACTCGCAATGAATTGTCATGTGTTTTGGACCAAAGGACTCAGTCATTTATGAAAGCATGAGATTTGGGCATAGAAGGGACAGTTAGTTGATCAACCCTCATATTGCTATAATAGCACACTCATGACTTGGGCATGGAAGAGGATAGAAGGAACACATAGTTGATCGACCATCATATTGTTGCTCGTGGACAAGGGACTTGGGCAGAGAATGGACACTTTGGAATATAAAGTCGTGCATGGTGGCGGCTAAGCCTCGCTTGTTGTTGGGGTAGTTGGAGAAGGGGAGGGACGAATCAAAGCGACATAGGGTTGAATCTTAGTGAATCGTTGCAGCAAGGCCACTCTGCCACTTACAATACCCCGTCGCATATTTAAGTCATCTGCAAAGGATTCTATTCACGACTCGATTGGAATTGTACTTCAAGTTGGCCCGTCGGACTCAATGCCCATAGGCTTGACCTGCGACACGTGTCTTTGAAAGCCAGAGAGCTCCTACTGTGGTCAACAATCGGGAAGTGGATTCAGGCGTCGGTACCATCCCGGATTCTGACTTAGAGGCGTTTAGTCATAATCCAGCGCGTGGTAGCTTCGTGCCACTAGATTTTCTACCAAGCACGATGACCAGTTATGAGAATACACGGTTCCTCTCGTACTAGGTTGGATTAATGTCATGACACTGTCATCGGTAGCATAAAACTAACATATGTTATAATGGTCTAAACCTAGCTCACGTTCCCTATTGGTGGGTGAACAATCAACACTTGGTGAATTATGCTTCACAATAATAGGAAGAGCCAAAATCGAAGGATAAAAAAGCAACATCGCTATAAACACTTGTCTGCCACAAGCTAGAAACCCATGTGGTACATTTTCTGACACCTCTAACTTCAAATTCTAAAGGTCTACAGGATCGATAGGCCACGCTTTCACGGTTAGTATTCGTATTGAAAATCAGAGTCAAACGAGCTTTGACCCTTTTGTTTCACACGAGAATTTTGTACACGTTGATCTTAGGACACCTGCATTATCTTTCAATAGATATGCCTCCCCAACAAAACTCCCCCACCTAAAAATGTCTTCCCGAGGTTACATATACATTTTGCCCACTTTACTTGCCTACATTGTTCCATTGACCAGAGGCTGTTCGCTTTGGAGACTTGATGACCCAAACCATAACTCAAACCAAAAACCAGTTACTCCGGAGCAACCCAAACAACTTTTTAAAATAAAGAAACAGACAATCATTAAGAATTTCAAACAAAAAGCCTGAACACTTGGGAAAATGACAATATCAATACTTAAAATGAATATACTCAGAATCTCCAGTTACACTCCTAACCATATAACAAAGAAATTAAACTATTCTAGCTCTAAAACACGATATTTGGGTTCTTGACTTAGACAAAAGTCGTTCTCGCTTTCATCCTCAATAACTTATTTCAACATCAACTCACAGAAGCTCTCGACTTCTATCCTTAACTAAACACAAAACACTAGGACCACCGCGTTACGTCCTGCCGTCCGGTGTCCTACCCTAGTATGTCAACCGCGTTACGTCTCGCCGTCCGGTTGCATACCCAAACTCGGCAATGACACTGTGGTACGTCTCACCGTCCAGTAGTGACCCCAACATACTCGATCAACTATTGCGTTACGTCTCGCCGTCCAGCAATGATCCGACCATCTACCGCGTCCTGTAGTGGCCCAACCGCCCGGGTGTTCATCTTACCATCAACCAACTATTACAATCTCAAATCCGTACATTCATACATAGCACAACGCGTGCCTCCACCCTTATAGGCGGTGGGATGCCTCACACACATATCGCGCATTACTCAATAAAATTAACTAAATAATAACTTGAACGAAAAGCATAAACTAGAAGACCTACGACAGAGATTTTACTCCCTTTACACTCACCTCGAAAAGATGACTCCTCGATTCCTTCCTCGAAGAAACCCCTCCTTAGCCGGATTGTTTTGGGGAAACCTATTAATAAGAATCCATTTTCTTATACGACTTTTCTCAATTTAAAACCCCTTTTTATTTACCCAGACACCCTCTCCTGAAAGTCCCATCCTCAAACCTCACTCCAAAGATCCCTTAACCTCCTTTAACAATTTTTCTAGAGATAATCTCTTCAAAACCGACCATTTTTCCTAATTAATTTCGTCTTGTATGAATTTTTCATCTAACTTTAACCTTCTGAAAAATTCTAATAATAATTTTACCATGCAAATAATGAGAACTAGTATCATGAAAAATTAGTCCTAATTCGCGGTTGTAACTCTTCGTACGTAATCGTTAACCCAACTGTTCACGTATTACGGTCGAACCTGAATTCAAAGGTTGGGGTGTTACATCTGATGCAGTTATGAGTATGAACGGGCATAGAAGGCACTCGTTCCTCCAGATTTTCATGGGTCGTCAAGAGCTCACTGAAGATCGCGCGACGTGTGGTGCTCTCCCGGCCGCTGGACCTTATCACCGACCGAGTCGTTTCCATGGTAGATGGGTCGTTAAACAAAAAATATAACTCTTCCCGAGGCCCTGCTGGCGTCTCTAGACTCTCTAATGTTGCTGTTAGTCGCCGTGTCTCGGTTTAGGAATTTTAACTCGATTCCCTTTCGATGCTCGCGCGTGTGCGCTGTTTTGAACGAGTTTCCCCTCATCTCTTAGGATGTACTAACCCATGTGCAAGTGTCGTTGGCCCATGACTTTACCTTGTACTCTACACACGTATTATTTTATTCGGATGCGTCGCCTAATTTTTTCTAATGACAAGCATGCTCCTCCATTTATAGTTATGATTAACCTCTTAAAATAAAATAAAATTTTAAAATAAAATCTTTTAATTGACTGAAATTGGTAGCATGGTGGTGAAAAAAAATGTTAGCACCCTAACCTTAACCTCTATTGTATTGTGCTTATAAGCCTAGCACACCAGAATATCGAACCATGCATGAAAAAAAGGTATGAGTGCAAAACATATTAGCTAATAGCTAGTTATTGCAAGGCCCCAATTCTTAACTGGAGGAGACACCAAAGGCCTCCGCCATTCCATCCCTTCGATCGATATAGAGAAAGGGCAAATTTTTTGATTTTTTTATATTGTCAAATATTTGAACATTAAAAATAGATGGCGAGTACCTAATCGAATTGATGAGGTCATGAAAGAACAAGATTCTAGCTAAACCCGCTCCAAACCGGGCACATCCGTATGTTGTAATTGTAAATTTGTAACCCTTCCCAAGGAACCGAAGCCTGCGATTGGGCCAGCGTAAAGCCCAAATTGGTAGGGAGGGCGTCTGTCCGGTTTGTTTATTTGAGTTTTGAGAACTTGATTAGATACATCCTACATCTCCATCATTCTCATCCCATCTCATCTGTCGAAGCGAAGAGAAGAGAGGATTGAGCGCCCGTGATTGCAAGGATCAGGAAAAGAGGAATAGAGAAAAGATGGGGAAGCAGCCAGTGAGGATGAGAGCTGTGATTTACGCGCTCTCCCCTTTCCAGCAGAAGACGGTTTCCGGTCTCTGGAACGATCTCCCTTCCAAGATCCACCACAAGGTCTCCGAGAACTGGCTCAGCGCAACCCTCCTTCTCACCCCTGTCGTCGGCGTCTACTCGTATTCCCTCTCTCACTTCTTTCCTCTTTCACATTCCTTCTTGGTTTTGTTTGCGTTGATGTTTCTTAGAAACCCTAGTTCTTGGTTGATGCCGATAATTTTTATTAGAAAAGGTCTGAGAAATTTTCGCCAAGATTGAATCTAGTGCTGCCGGTCTCCCCTTCGCTTTCTGAATTCCGTATCTCCTTTTACATTTTCTTTTGTGTAGTTTGGTTTTGAATGCGATATAGTGGAAGCGAGGGTGATCTGGAACTCTGTTTTATGAGATTTGTCGTTTAGGTTTTGAATTCGACTTAGTGTGGTTTCGTGGGTCAAGGTTCATTGTGCGTGGATCTTAACCTTTGGATCAGTTCTTCAACCTTGCCTTCTCTGAGTTTGTGGTCGTAGCTTTGTTTGCGACCATCTCTATTGAGTGTTTTTGTGTGCTTGTACGCCTTGGCATTCACTCTTTCGTCTTTCTCCCAATGCCTCCTTGAACATTTGCAGGCTGTAAAAAAAACACTCCACACTGTGAACCCTCTTATGTATTTTCTTTTGGTTTCCAACGCAGTGAGTTCCCAAGATAAATTATGGAGTTGTCCACTTTAAAGGAAAGAAAATTTTGCTTTAAAAGTGATTATCTTGAGAATGCAAATGAAAGAACTTGCTGGAGGTGAATTGGAAACATTTGAAGATATGAGTCAAGTTTCCTCTTCTGCCTTGCTAGAATACAAGTGATGAAATGCTTTACTATTCTCTGTTGTGTGGTTAGCAACTGTTCTATTTATGTTATGAATAAGATACTATTGTTACGAAAAAGAAATTGTATACTAACTAACTAGGTGTATGCTGCTCTCAATGTGATTATCAGCTCAGTGTCTAATGATGCACATCTTTTATTTCATGTTTATGAACAGGTATGTCCAGCACTACCAGGAAAAAGAGAAGTTGGAGCACAGGTACTGAGCTAAAGCTAAAGCATGTGGTGGAAGAAGTCGTTTCCAGTTGTTTCACCTTTGCCAAATAATTTTCCGAGATGAGAACTTTGCTTGCGCAGTGGTTCAAAACCCATTTTCTTTATATGAATTACTCTGATGTTCAGCCGTCCTTTAGGTCTGTTTTGCCTATGAATTGTGGGTGTGGCAAGGATGGTCCTATTTTAGGTACAACCGAAGTGGAATATCATGAGTTGTCTCCTTTGAATTTGATTTGAATGCAATGAATGGTTTGATCTGAGGTTCTACTATGAAACCTGTGAAGCAATGCTAGCACTTCTTCTATGTTTTAAATTATTGGTGCCTTAAAGTTATATTGTACCATAAGGAAATTTGACATTTTATAAAATTAAAGTGCAATTTTAGTTTTTCATAAAGAGATTTTACAAAAAATATAGGATAAATGCCATGATTGGTCACTGAGATTACTAAAAAATGTCAAGTTCGGTCACTAAAAATATTTTCTTCCATTCGTTATCACTGAAATTACTAAAATGTGTCAAGTTTGGCCACTCTCCGTTCAACTATGTTAACGTTTGCTTATGTAGCAGTCAACTCTTTAAATTGATCGTTAAATATATGATGTGACAATTAAAAAATAATAATAAATAAAATATTTCAAAATTTCCACCTCATTATTTTCATAATAAAAAATAGAAATAAAAACGCGATGATTTTCCCAGTCTGGCCGTCATCTCCAAAAACCCTTTCGGCTTAGCGGTCTTTGAAGAGTTCCATGAAGAGAAGGGTTAATTGCATGGTTGGTCACTAACATTACAAAAAGCGTTCATGTTTGGTCACTGGAAAAATTTAAATCCATTTTTGGTCACTAACTTTATAAAACCCGTTCATTTATGGTCACTCTCCGTTAGCTGCAGTCCAACGCCGTTAACGGCGTCCGTTAAGTGATGACGTGGCTGACGGATTCGCCTAATCAGCACCTTTTAACCCCAAGATTGACTGACCCGACCCGCCACATCATTTAAACCCGCCATGTCAGCTAAACATAACCAAACCTAACCAAACCTCTACCCAAACCCGACCAGACCCAACCCACCCACTCATCTATGTTATTTATGTCACTTTCTGGCCAGAAGAAACCTATCATCTTCCCAAAACCTTCACAACTCTGTTTTCTTCTCATCCCTTTCTCCTCTGCTAATGGCGACACCTTCCTGTCGTTGTGGATTGGCATAAGATCTCAAGACGAGCTGGACAGAGGCGAATCCAGGGAGGAGGTTCTACGGGTGCAACAAGTATGGGGTAAGATTTCTGACTTTTCTGCTTTGATTTGTATACCATTCGACCATCCTCTCCTTCATCCCTCTCTGTTTTTGTGGTTGGATCTGTAGACAGATGGGGCATGTAATTTCTTCAGATGGCATGACCCAGTAGTTGATGAACATATGAAGTTTGTGCTGCTGAACTTTCATCGTCGGATTCTGAAACTAGAGAAGAGGCAAAATGGGCAAGGGTCCAAAGCTAATGGATGTCTAGTGTTCATCTTCATTGTGATTGCTCTTGTCTTTTCTTTCATCTGGATGGGATTGGGGATGTAAGAAGCTATTTGCTCAACCTTGCTGATGTAATCGTTTCTGTATTGTAGACTGTAACCCTAGAAAAATTAACCCTTCACGTTTTGTTTCTGAAAGTAATGTTAGTTGTACGATTGGTCACTCAAAAAACCTAAAGGTCCACATTTGGGGACTTAAAAAATGTAAAGGTCCACATTTGGCCACTCAAAAACATGTAAAGGTCCACATTTGGTAACTGAAAAATATGAAAAGGTCCACATTTGGTCACTCCAAAACATGAGAAGGTCCACATTTGGTCACTCCAATCACTTGAAAAGCCAGATTTAGAACAACACTTCAATACCTAACTGTTATGCATTACACTATTTGTCCAAAAGAGCCATGCATAATTAACAAGTTCCTTCTCCATGCACTTGTATGACAAAATGGCAAATCAACATTGATTTGCACTTGTATGACAAAATGGCAAATCCACATTGATTTGCAAGAAGCCTTAGAGGCTTAACAGTTCAAAATAACCATTCACAATAACTTAAATCTACTCTTCACAGCTGCTCTACTTGAGTCACTTGGCTTGCAATCTGTGAGAGTTGAGAGCCTTGACTTGATGATGGCCTTCGAGAACTTCCCTGCAAATTAACCTACATTAGTATGCTGGAAATTCTTAATAAGCCGGGGAAATGAAGAAATTCATAAACATTTACATCTGGCATGAGTTGAACCACGTGTGGGGGCTGCCTAGACGAAGAAGTGGCAGCCTTTGCAGCTTTCTCTTGCTGCTTCTTCAATGCAGCAAGTCGGTTTCGTTCAGCCCTTTCAAGTTGCTGCTTCTTCTTTGCTTCTGCCTTCTCTTTCTTCCTTTCTTCTGCCTTCTGTTTCCTTGCTGGATCATGGAAAGCCTTGTTGTGGCCTAGTAGACCACAAATTTTGCACTTATATTGCTTCCCTTCCGGTTTCGATGATTCTCTCCCACCTTTCTTTTGTTTCTTCTTGGCTTCTGCTTCTTCATCTAATCCCTTTCTCCTCTGTTTCTTTGGTCTTCCTCTCTTCTTAGAGTTTTGAACAGGAGGTATGCCACAATCTCCCAACTCAGACTGTGGCCAATATTCCTTACCATTGGTTGGCGAAATAGAATGCTCATATATGGCTTATGCGGTTTCCTTGGTGTAACAATTTGCTACATAATCATACAATTGAGTGTTTCCCACAACAATTGCCTGGATTGCATGCTGACAAGGGATCCCAGTTAACTCCCATCGACGACAAGTGCAAGTCTTCGACTTCAAATTGACCACTACCTGCTTGTCATGCCACTTCACTTCAAATTGACCCCTTCCATTTGAAATAGCTGTCCACTTCACAGCTTCTTCTTCCCACTCCCGCAGCTTCTTCTCAATTTTCTCCGTCAAAGGACTTGGCCACTTGCTGATATCTTCTTGTCTATGAGCGTATAGGAGCATCAAGTTCCTCCTAATCCCCTCCCACATGCTGATCGGACCCGAATCCCTTTCCTCCAATATAGTGTTGTTCCAACTCTCTACATTATTGCTACTGAGAATATCACAGCTGGTGTAAGTTAGGAAATGAGACCTGGTCCAATGATAGAAGAGCTTCTTAATCAGCCAATCGTAGGCTGGCTTATTAAGATCGGACAGCAGTTGCATATTATGTTTGAACTCCGCTACAGTTGTGGACCTAGCTGCTGTCCAAAATAAGTTCTTCAACTCTTGGCCACCTCCACAAGCACCCTTCAGGTTTGTCCACAAGTGTCGTGCACAGTGTCTCTTCTCACAGTTTGGAAACATTTCGTCAAGTGCTGGCAAGAGACCCTGAAGACAACAAACAAACACCAATCGTTAAAATTTATAAAATTCTGAATCACTTAATAAAATCAGCAACTAAATAGAGTTTTTACCTTTTATTTGTCAGACATAAAAGTCCAACCAGGAGAGTCCATTATACTCAAGTCGTCCCTAACATTACCAAGGAACCATTCCCAATTTTCCTTGTTCTCTACTCCAACATGGGCAAATGCAACTGGGTAGTATTGGTCATTGGAATCCACACCAACTGCTGATAGTAGATGCCCTCCATACTCGTGCTTCAAGAAGCAACCATCGACAATTAACACTTGTCTACATCCAGCCTTGAACCCCACCTTGGATGCCGCGAAACAAACATACATCCTGTTGAAGCATTGTTCTCTCTGCTTAATGATAACGGTAGAGTTGGGATTGCTCCTCCTCAACTCTTCGGCATAATGATACAAGGACCTATACTGATCCTTCAAACTCCCACGAACCGCCTCAATTGCTGCATGTCGTATTCTCCAAGCCTTAGAGTTCTTCACGTCTTCTTTGTAGTCTTCTTTCACAATGTGCTTCAGCAAGGCCCTTTTCATGTTCCTATCACATGCCATCTTCCTACTTAACTTGGAGCCGAGAAACTTTGCAGTTGCGTACTTGACCTTGAAGGTCTTCCTACAATCAGGTGAGTGCTCAACCTTGCACTTCTTGATTTGGACAGAATCTTCGGGGCTCATCTTCGAAGCCCAAATGTACCAATCACATGGATGATCGCACACTACTTGCAGCCGCTTTCCATCATTCTTTTTAAAGCGAACTGGCCTCTTCTCGATGAAAGCATGTTGTTTTATTGCATCTTTTAGGACTCCAAAGCTGCTAAACTTCTGGGAAGCAGCAAAGGTAGGCATCTCCATGTCTCGATCAACCCGGAATTCATGAGATTGGTGTCCTTCATCCGAGTCTGAGCTTACAATGCTCCTACGATCATCAGAGTCTGGATAATCAGGCCCTTCCCTTTGTAGTTCAGGCTGATCATCATCCATTCCAAAGGTACCCATGTCGGCTTCCACCTCTTGAGTGATATTTGATGCAAAATGTGCATTGTCCCTTGAACTATCTTCTTCTGAATCCTCCAAATAGTCGCTGTCTTCATCCTCATGATAGTCAGAATCACCTAATAGATCATCTCCAGCAACATTTTCCCCCTTTCTTCCCAAACTGGCAGCCTCCATTTCTTCAACTTCACTATCCAAGAGAACGTCAAGATCATCAACCGAGAAAGCATACAACTCGATGACTCTTCCCTCGCCGTTGGCCGCTACTGACATGCTCAGAATATCTTCATCATTGACAATCTCTGACATTGCATCGTTGCAAGGATCTTTCCAGAAGAACTTCGACTCTTTAATCTTCCCACCACACGCCTCATATATGCCAGGAAGGTCGAGCACTGAAAGTTCATCAATGTCGGCATAGTCCCAAAACACAGTGGAGGTTTCATTGAGGAAATGCTTGCCGCCAACCTCTTTCACTTCATGGGACACATGAACTGCAAAGGTGAACTCTCCACTGGAAGTAGCTGTTTGGTAAAAAAAAAAGCAATGGAAAAGAGTTAATTTCAAAGGAAATGAGCAGTTATGGAGCAGCAGGTAAGTAGGTGGTCATGTCCCACCATTTTCTATTAAAAGACAGACTAAGTCAAACCCTAAAGCTGTATTTTTTGTCATTCCCACAAAATCCTGAATTTTTCTATTCCAACCGTCCCAAAGTGATGTCCTCATCTCTAGTAAATGCCAACTGTGGAAAAGGACAACCCAGACCACCCATCTACCATCAAAACCAGCCATCTACCATAATGACAAAGGAAAAAACGACAAGAGACTTACCATAGTTAGGCTGAGTTGAATTCGGAGCCCGCACATGCCCCACCATGTTTCCTTCAGTAGTGAAATGGTGACCTGGAGGAAAGGGACAAGAGCCTGCAGGTTAGTATAAAACAAAGG